GAAATACTATAGCTATGTTTTGATTGTATTTTTTCTTAAACAATCACACAGATTTTTCTTTTACAAGCCACATAAAATTTTAATTGAGTTGATTCATATTAAATTTATGTCTGCTAAAGTCAGCACAACAGAAAAACGTCTTTTCTGAGGACTCAGCACATCACAATATCATATTAATTGTACAATAATAAATCAGGATCTTATCACCTCTCCCACCCCTTTAACCCAGGTTGCTACTTTAATTTTCCAACCTTTGAAACTCAGGAGAAAGATCCCACCTAAAGTGCAAATGCTTCACTTCATAACCCAGCCATTCTATACAGTATATTGTTAGCACTTTTCCCTTACAAAGAGGTCCCAGACCTATTTTACATATATGTGGTGACAATCAAAGCACACTCTTACAGCTGAAGGCCTGAGCTGCAAAGAGAAATACTGTGCAAATATCACATCCCTATCTCTTAAACAAAGAACTTTAAACCCAAATGGAGTTCATTTGCATGAAATCCAAGACTTCAGCATCTACATAATAGACAGAAGGAGCTTCTCCTTCACTCTTTCCAAAGGAAGCGCTTATCTCCTTTGTGAAAGTGGGAAATGGGTGGGCTATTTTGCATGAGGATGTATACAAGATATGTAAATGAGGGATCTGCTGCATGCAGAAAGCAAACTGGCCAGACAGCTGACAATCCTCCATTCACAGGGGAAACTTCTCTGGCTTCCAATGGGAGTAATGAGAATGGAACAAACATGTTTGCTTCCCAGGGTGGGAGAAGCTGATCCTGAATATTCATAAAGTGACCATTTAGTCATGGAAGTGTTAATTATTTCCAGCTCATGAAGCTATGTGACCTCACCTGCTCCCAGACAGTATATCAAAAGAAGGAAATAATCAGATGGAATGAGAGCAGAATTTGATCCCACAAGTTAAAAGTCAACCAAGGAAAGGATAAAAGACAGAGGGATTCAAAAGACAGAAGAGATGGCTTGAAATCTTCCTTTCTCACATATTCTTGCAGCTACAATAAAGATCTGAGATCAGTGGGCCATGCTACTAAACACAGATAAATAACCAAGCAATTGCCAGGCTGTATTTCTCAGAAACTTGCCAAGCTTACAAATTAGAATGAATATATTTCTTTTATAAGCAAACTATAAACATTTCACATTTAATTCATACAAACCTGATAAGGCTAGCCACAATTTGCTACACATATTAAATGAGGAAAGAAAATAAACTGCAATTATTTCTGTGGTGAACGTGAGGGAAGAAGGAGAAAATTGAACAAATGAACTATATTATGTATGTCACAATTTATTTATAATTAATTAGTTTGCAAATGTTAAAAACCATGACTTTCCTCGCTACACAAACCTACTCAGTATCTGACACTATTTTACAATACAATCTTATTGTTAATTCAATAGGAAGCCTTACTAATTTTAAAAAAACAGATACGAAAATACATGCAAAGGCTCTGAATACTTGAAAATATCTAATTTATAAATGAAAATGTACTCTTTTCTGGTTAAATCCAGAAGTTGATCTGTAAAGTTGTATCATTTAAGATCATGGATGTCAAAAGAAAAAAAAAATCCAGATTCCTACAACACTAAAACTGTGGGATTACATTTATGATTGTTTAGATGCAAACATAATAGGAGTTCATATTTTAAAAATGTAATGAAAAAAGAAAATAAACTATAGTAATAATAACAAAATTCACTCTCCAGTTATATCATTTGAAGCTATTTAAAATCACAAAAAGTGCATTTATATGATTCAGGTAATTGAATCTTAAATATCCCATAATTAAACACCAAAGTAGCAAAGAGAAGATGTCTCAAAGCCATACTTTTGAGACATCTAAGATTTTTTAATAATCTTTTTATAAATTATAATAATATATAATATATAAAATTAAGAATGTATTTAATACTAAGATATAAATTATTGGAATCATTGGTTTATATATATCATAATAAATGTACCTAGATTTTTATGGTGAAAAATTATTAAATAAAAGTGCTACCTTTAGTTTCACATAGAGCATGGCAACAATTTCAAAGAATTAGCATTTTCCTACTTGTTTAATATATTTATTGCCTTTCTTATGTTTTATTGCTTTTCTTTATTTTAATAAGGAAATTAGTTCAGTGTGTATACGGATTTCTTCCTAGTTTGTATAACAAAATAGTTTAAATGTCAATGATAAATTCTACTAAAGGAAACATCATCCACAGGCTGAATTTTATCTTAAAACAGTAATTATCTTCACCTTGCAATAGACTTCAAAGCTAAGGCAATTTCATGTTTCAGTAATAGATTTCCCATTCATATTTTTTTCTCCCAAGAGGTTTGGAAATCAAGTACACTTTTCTCTTTTCTTCAATTTGAAACAAGAAATTCAGCCAACACAAAAGTGTTGTAAAAACAGGTGTAGTGTGTAAAACAGTATGTATAAAATATTTGAGTAAATGATCTTATATTGTGGAGAAAAATGAGTAACAAAAGACTTTCATTTCAAGGAATATTATTCAAGATCAAAGGGCTGAATGAACTTGGACCTATAAATATAAACTGTATTTTCCATTAAGTGTTCTTTGTTTTCACTCTCATCATTATCTAAATTAACATATACATATAAGAATAAATGTAATTTGATCTCCAATGTTCTAAATTTTTCAATAGATCAGTATTATTATAGATTCAAATAATAGGAGCACCTTCTGCCTTATCATATGTCCATCAAACCTTTGTTTAGGCTTTAAGATCTTAATCAATCTTAACTCTGACCTAAGGATCACAGGACGATGATGGATGAGGAAATGAATGACCTATGACCTTCTCTTGCATTTCTATTGCCAAGTTTCAACACTGAAAAACAGTTTGGGTAGACAGTTAACAAATATTGTAGACCTGATAGGATTATCTTCCCTTATGTTGTCTTTCGATTTCACAATGACACATCTCTACGAAGTGAGAATGTGAGAATATTTAATTCCTAATCACCTATTTTATGATTCACCTATTTGATTTTATGCAAGAAAATATTCTGGATTCAGAATCAATGTTGTTATTCAGAATTACTAAACTTTGGAGTTCAGGAAATGTGTACACAAACTGGCACATATTATCATGGAAATTGGGAGATTAAATTGTGTTGTTTATTGGGTTACATTCACTTCAGGAACCTTTAATGAACCAATATTAACATGGAAGACACTCAAAGCAGAAAATATTTGATATTTGGGGGGGACTAGCCCTATGAAGTATGCATGCAAGTTTTTTTTGTTTTTAAAGATAGTGAGGTGATGTATTTACTAGGCTGTTTTCCCATTTTTGAAGGTTTTTATAAGAAAGTACTTTTTTTTCTCCCCAAACTTCCAAAAACAAGGCTTCCTTGTCAGCTGATTAAGTAATAAAGTGTGGATCACTGACTAAGGAGTGTTTTAGTTTTTCATCAATCAGGGTGAGCCAATATTGCATCAACACTCCCTTTGGGGGAAATCTAATAGCCAATATTCTAATTTTATCCATCTGTTTCCCCATAATCAAACTCTATAAAAATTAAATTCCAAGAAATGCAGAACCTAGTAAAAACAGAAATATGTTCCTACACATTAATTTTCTCATAATGTGATCACTTCAAGTATCATATCTGTGTGTTGGCAACAATTTATTTGTATCAGGAATCCAAACATTTTGAATGATCCTGTCCTTTTCCAGAGAGGGAGAATTACTTGCTTTTGTGATGATGTCCTGTCATTATACTAGCCACGTTTGAGTTCTCACTCATAATTATAGTATCAAGAAGTTATGCTCAGTTCTTCTTCAATAAGCATATAAATATCTGATTAATACATGATAGCAAAGGAAAATGTTTAGAAAAACGATTTATTTCAGGCAATAACTAATTTTAAATTGCCTATAAATGATCATATGAACCTATTTTAGATAGGTGGGATGAAACTGCTATGGTATATTAATTTCACAAAATAAAATAGTGTGATGTTTGTTTTGTTCACTAATTAAAAAGGGTTTGTTTTTTTAGCAAAATGCAATTAAAATACATCAAACACAGTACCCTAAATCTTACTACTTTAAAAATAAATGAAGCTATTATTTTTTGGGGGGGGGGGAATTCATTAGAGACTGATCTTGAACAGGTGGCTTACGGGGTAATCAAATCCATAATCAGCTATAGTCTACTTATAAAATCATAATAACGTATAACTAAAAATCAAGAGAATCATAAAGAAGATTTAAAGCTTTTTTTCTTTCCTTTCCTTTAAAATAAGCTGCCTTTTATATGAAGGTTAATCCCTAATTCTGTGGAGGATAGGAAAAGGAGGGAGAAACAGATGACTTCGTGCATTTCTGACTAGTCTCCTAGCAAGTTCTTTTGTAAATGAAACAATGGAGACTTTTTGAGAAATAAAAATATTTCACAAAAGCAGCCATGTCATCCATTCAAGGATTACTTAGTAAAAGAATTCTCAAGTGAAACAGTAAAGAGTTATTTTGAAAGAAACTAAGAAGAATTTTAAAACCAAATCTTTATTTTCTATTATAAAAGTAAAAACAAAAATTTCTAGCCTTGATATTATTAATATTATTACTATTATTACTATTCCTTTGACATGATTCTTGTTAGATTTAATTTTTCAAATGAGAGAGAAAAAGAAGCACTTTCTCTTAAATGAAATAACATGAATGGATGACAAACATTTAAATGTGAGTGGCAAGATGCAACCCAGTTCTAATCTACCCTCTGATGGCTGTATTTTTTGCCTTCTGCATCTTATGTTAGTGTCTTTGTTCTTTCAGAATGATGCATCCTTTAGCGTTGGAACTACTGAATTTCCTCATTAGACCACGCTGTCCCACTGCATTCCCACAGGGATTGCTAATTATTGGCTTTCTTCAATTTAGTCTCCTTTCTGATTCAATTACATACACCATCCTTTAATGAACAGTACAATGCAACAAGGCCTACCTTGGCATTCTCCATTATGCTCTTCATACCCAGCATTGCACAGGCAGTTGCCAATGGGTACCAGCCATTCACCATCTGCCCCACAGTACATTTTTGGCACATCCTTTTCTTCTGAGTTGTTGACACATGAACCACGAACCTCGACCAAAGAAGATGTATCAGCTCCTGTGATTGTGTCTGGAAACTGAGCCAGATTACGGACTGTCAGGGGACATTTCTTGTAGAAGACACGAACGGACACCAGGGCTATGCAAGCACCTACATCCTGGAATGCCAGATAAAATCCCTTCTTGCTCAATGGACCCACATCACGTATCTCTGTGTTTAATTTCATAATCCTGTCGCCAATGTCTACCTGAGTAAAACTCTCATCAGCAGCAATGGTGTCAATCTTACCAAACTGGCTTTCTCGAATAAAACGCTCCTTGTCGTTGCTTGATTCATAATAGTACAGGTTAAAAGTCTCCTTGCAAGTTCCCATAACACCTGGCAGGCTGTTGCAGTCTCTTAGTGTGAACTTGATTTCAATATAAACCCTTTGAGCCCCTTCACGGGGAATCCAATCAGTCCGTAACCAGTTGTTTTGACTTGGTTCCATTACGTTGCAGACTTGATAAGTGCGGATTGGTGTATTTTTCTCATCCATAATGCTGACTTCCTCCCACTGTGAATAATCAGATAGATAGACATAAATAAAATCATGTAAAATATGCAATCAAACCTTCACGAGAAAAAAATATTTCTATTGTACTACTGGTTTCATTGGTTTTTATACAACAGCCATTAATGCTAATTACCAATGCTAATTATATTGCTCATATATCTATATTAACTAAAGCAATATTCAACAGGAAATTTTAAGATGGTAGAGGAGTAGAATTTTTCAGTTTATTAGAAAGTCAATGATCAATCTGCCAACATACATTCTATTTGCCATTATTTGTATAGCATGATTTGAATGATTCAGACTGCTAATAAGAGCTGTAGTAAAATAAGGGGTATCAACTGAACAGATATTCTGTTTGTATAGGCAAAAAACCAAGAGAAGATAAGGAACTTGACCATAGGTATCCATCCATCAGAAACACAGCTGAAATAAGAACTAATCACTTCTAATCATCTATTATTCTGATATTATGTTCTTCACATTCTCATACCAAGTTACAGACTATAATAAAATACAAAACACAAAACTTACTAAAACAATATCATTAGAATCCCAAATAACAATTAAATATAACCAACAGCAAGAAGAAAAATCTCCACATGTCATATCTAAATCAGTATTCAGTGTGAAGCTAAAGGATTCCTGGTGTGTCAGAATAGTGTGATCAATACATACATCCACACAATTTATCCTATACATATTGTGTGAGAAAGATAAAATGTATGGGTGTCTTCAAAGAGATTTGCATATATTATCTTTGTCAGAAAAGCATCGTAGCTAAGTAACAGAACACAACAGGTGTCAGGTCCAATTACCACTATTTCTGAGTAATCCTGGGAAAGAAATCTGTTTGAAATTCTGGAGGGCTTCTGCCACTCAATGTACAGGTCTCAGATTATTAAATATATGGAAATTAAATATATGGAACAATAGTTTTAATCCACAGCAAAGATTAAGATTCAGTTGTTTGGATTATACTGCATATGCACATTATAATAAAATAAATAGCTTCAATTCTAAAAAACCTTAAATTTTTGTTCCGTTCACATGTTGGTTTATTTCAAAACAATCTATCTCCAGACAGACAGACAGCTTTCAAGCCAAGGCAGTCTATGTTCCTGAAGAACTTAAATAGGAATAAGGTCATCACGGTTATGTCCCTGATGTCTGTAATAAATAATCTTTCTCTTTAACATTTGGGTAGTTAGTATATAAATACATCTACAGAAACATGTGCACTCAACCACACAAAAAATATTTCTGAAGAGTGAATATGATTTTATTTTGTTTGCAGAGGTTCAAGAATAGTATCAGTCAAAAGAGCTTTCAAAATGTGATTATATTAACCATAGGATACAGAAGAGTACTTCTGTGTCTATTTATTTATTTATTTGCAAAAGAAAAAATGCATTGGTTTTGGTTTTGCTGAATTCAGGATCAATGACAGAGGAAAACATACTTTCCCCCCCTCACTTATAAAAATTTAACTAAATCCAATCCTTTTCAATGAAGCACATGAACCCAAAACAATAGAATAGCATAGAATAGTTTTCAAAGGCTTCATCAGCAAGCAAAATAAATACACTTGTACCAGGGAATGTTATAAGATATAAGCTACTCTTCACTGTATTGCATTCATAATCATTAAAGTTCATAACCATTAAAGTGCTCTTGAGTTTAAATACAATGCTGGATAGCTGAAAACGCTTTATAGAGCTGTGGCAGCTAACCCCCAGAGTCAAGATGATAATATTTGAGTTATTGTCTAGGGATACTTGAAAATTCAAGAAAAGGGAGAGGGGGTGGGATATCCACCATGTCAAACTGTGTCATGGATAATAGGGGAAACTGGAAAGCCATCTATCAATGTAAAATGCTAGCGCACAAAGTGAGCAACAAAGTTCTTTAATTTACAGCTGCCATGAAATGAGCATTGTGTTACAATTCTGCCCTTTCTGATCCAATACCCTATACTATGGGAGAGGGCAGGGACGAAAAAGGAGAAGGAATAAAAATGGTCAATGGGATTTCCTTTTGCATGTTTACACAAAAGACAAAGTCAAATTATAAGGCTGGTCCAAAGCCTATTGAATTCTGTGAAAAGAACACAGACCCTTTACTGCAAAATTCCTCATAGGATTTGGTCACAACTTCTTCCCTTCCTCAATAGAACTGCATTTTTCATTTAATATTTATATCAGTAAAGAGCCAAACATAATAAAACTGCACATTCCCAGATAAAATAAATTATTGTTTGATAAAGTGTGTGGTCAAAGATTAACTTCGTCCTCCTTTTCAGTTTTGTCAAACAGACTTCCTATGTTTTAATAATCCAGGATAAAGCATTCCAGACCAACAGTTTCTTTTAACTCAAATTTTAAAAATAAACTATTAATTAAATGTACAGGCTAATACATTTGTTCTTCAAGGACTGCCATGGAGTCAGCAATAGACATTCATTTGGATAAAGTGACCTATTTTTATCTCCAATCTCTCTTATTAATGTATAAAATATTTCACATTTCAGAAATATCCACTTCTTAAATGGTAACATGGGATTCTGCATGATACAAAAATCTCCATAAAATATAAGAAAGAAGCAGAGTTTATCTTTAAACAGTATGTTGGGGTATTTTTGAAAAAAATATATTTTTAAAAAAATCTGTCCAATGCTCTGAATTGTAGTATAGAATTGTAGAATTGTAGCCTGTAGTATAGTAAACCATTAAATGTTTTTCCAGCTTTCCTACAGGCAGATTTGAAAGCCGACTAGGTCCCTTTAAGCTTTTTTTTATCACTATCATGTATAAGCTTTAATACAATGTCATATATTATCATGAAAACATTTCTCCCCATTGTTTTTAGAAAAAAAAATAATACAGCTTATTATTATTAATATAGAATAAGTATTTTCTTCAGTGTTTTTAGATTGCTGTAATTATTTTCATTCAAAATTAAAATATTTAAAGCTATCAAAGAAATACTCCCTACACTGAAAGACAGACTAATTTATTAACTTTTCTAGGGTACGGGACTGACTGAAATCCTGCCTCTTACTGTGATAAAGCTGTACCTTTCCCATTGTCAAAAGATGAGGGCAATTGGCTGCAATCAGCAGTGAATATATGCTGTCTACACCCAGTAGCTTGCCAATCATTTCCTCTTGCATGAAAAAAAGGAGGAGGGGTTCCAGGAACAGCAGAGGCAGACCACAACTTGACTGCAGTCAAGTTCAGGCATAGCAACAATGGGGACAGGACAATTGACTATTTTCCCATCAAAGGGCTGTTTCGAAGCTTATGCATAATGCATCTCTAAATAGATAAGTTCACATTCCTTCCTTTCACAGAGATAGTTACATGCAAGCATACAGACACAAATGTCAAGGAATATTAAAGAATAATGTATTTTAGTAACAAGATCTGCATCTGTAGTTATTATATAGTTGATGGTGTTTGAAAGTTTCTGATTTACCTTCAATTGGTATGAATAGTTTGCCTTTACACAGTTAGGATGAGATGTCTGTTTAATTCTAAAGAGCTTTGTGGTCACTGGGAATATCATGCATCTTGTTTTACTCCTGAAACTGTTCTCTTTATTAGCCCTGCTTATGTAGCAAAAAGAAAGCTGTATTTCATTATTTAATAAAATGTCTGATCCTATGATATGTAGAGTATTAATGGTTTCCAATAAATCCAGTAAGAAATACTCTTGAGTTTCTTGGAACTATCATATCAAGCCACATGCTATTTATTTAAAGTTTATTATATTGCATATAACTAAGCTATGATTCAAGTTTCTCTCTGTATCCATATCTACAAATGTCTTAATTATTTCATTCGCTAATAGATGACCAACCTCTATTCTGCTTGTACAATGCTCTTATTATAATGCTCTTATTATACAAAAAATAGGTATTTTGACAAAGAAAAAGAATGGTTACAGCTAAATATTAACATTTTTAAAAGGAATATTGAACATTCACCTTTCTATTGACTAGGAGATAAATTTATGGAATGGTTGCAGCTTCACACTTTAGAATATTTTCCAATATGAAAATTGGATGAAAATTGGATGAGAGTTTGTTTAAAGATAACTTTATTAAAATATCAAAATAATTTTTCTGCTTACTTCCAATGCAAGATGGAATAAAATTCTGAGTTTTGCACATCATTAAGAACAGTATTCATATAAATTATGAATATAAATTATTACTGTTATAAAATTATAAGAAGAGATATGGATTTCCCCTTGATCAAAATGAAAAAAATAATAATTCATTTATTTTAAAAATTGGTATTTGTAACTTTTGAAGAAATATTTTACATTTGTGTTAGAATTCACCAATACATATTTGGTTCCCTAAATAGAATTGACTTAACAAATTTGCTGACCTGGCTCCAGTGTGAATTCCTCCTTCTGATTCTATTAAACAGGGTATCCCAGGTTTATACAAGGAAATAATACAATTTTACTAACAAAGTATAATACATATTTTAAAGGCCATTGAAATAAAATTGAACTTTTCACAATCAGTGAAGAAAAGGCTATCAAGTATCATTAGAAATTTACTAATCATTTCAAATTTTTATTGATTAGATAAAATATTCTGAACTTACCCCTCCCTCTAAGGGACTCGCTATCCAGCCAAGTTCACCTTGAACTGATCTGGAATCCAATAAGGTAACTGCAAGAGAAAAGCATACATCAAATTCCAAGTACTCAAATTCAGACTATGTTTCAAAAAGCATCATTAAATGATCTACACAAGAAAAGAAAGATGGTACCCAACCAAAAAAATAAATATCTTTCCAATGGCAATATAAGCAGGAACTTTTATTCTTATTTAGAATATTTATTTTAAAACATACATAGAAAATCACATACTGTGAATTTGATGATGATGATGATGATGATGATGATGATGATGATAATAATAATAATAATAATAATAATAATAATAATAATAATAATACTTGACAGGTGAGTAAAAATGCCAACTCCTGTCTAAACATCTGGCTGACTGTGCAACCAATCATCATCAACATAATAATAATACCCCAGTGAAATACTGTCTTTATGTGGTTTTTAATATTATTAAACAATATCTGCCTAACTCAAATCCATGGGAAGGACTTAATAGGTGGAGAAAAATATCAAATCCAGTCTAAACAACTGACTGTGTGACCAACCAATAAAAAGAAGAACACAGAACTGAAGCATTTTCAATTTTTTAATTGAAAATAATCCCTTAAAAAAAGGGAGACCTGAGCTATTTATAACTAAAGCTAAGTCTACTTCAAATCCAGGATAATACCTAGTGACTTCATGAACACATCCATGTCATTTGCTTGGAAATAATATAAAATGGTTTGCCCTTGGGTTCTTTTAATATACTTTTTTTTACTTCACAGTCTAATCTACAGTTCTAAAATTACCTAGTATTCTCCCATTCAAGTCCTGTCCAAGTATACCTTGTTTATTCTAAAGGCCATTTTTCATAGATTTTAATTCTAATCCACTTTGAATTTCCAAATGCACAAATCCCAGCAATTATTACAACATCCTCTAGGAGAAATCAATACAGGTATTACAATCTTTACACTGCAGCCCACATAAATAAGATGCCAAGCGTGTTTACACTATCCCATTAAGACACATGTTGATTCTGTGAATGGGGTGCGACTTGCATTTAGGGCCTCTTAATTCAAAGGTCATCTTCACTAAGGATTAACACTTGCACCCAAATAGAAATTGGTTTGGATTTTAAAAAAACAAACAAACTAAGATTAAAATGTTCTGGGATATTCTCAATCTTTGAATGCTGTGTTCAATGTAATCCTATATGTGTTTAATCAGAAAACAAGTGCAATATTGCTCACTGAGATTTCCTCTCACATAAATGTGTAAAGAAAGCACCTATTCATAATTCATCTTTATTATATGACTGCCTGAGACATTGTTGCATGAAAGATGGATCTTCCAAGAAGAAATAAAATGTTAATTTCATTAACTTTAGAACAAGACTTGTTTACATCATTTTGCATTTCTCTTTATAAATTGTACATCTCATAGAAAAATGTCAGTGAACCCAGAAACAGCTTCAATAGATAACTTAATCTACTGTCACTATAAACAAGGAATGCAACATATTGTGTTGGTCGTGCCATCTTCTGGGTATTTAATGCCACTTGCAAGAAAAGCAGAATGATTTTTTACCTATAAGGGAGCAGTGAAAAGTGGACTATGTTGTATAGGAAACATTTCCAGCACTGTATGGAGTGGGAGGGGGGATGTGTCTTATAGGAAACAAAGAGAGTGAACCAAAAACCGAACAGCTTCAGCACTGCATTCTTTGTACCTCTAGAGGCTCCTGTTAAAAATGGAGCAAGAGTTGGGGGTGTGTTAAGAGTGAAAAATGGCTCCCCAGTGCAGATAACTTAAAAGATGCTGAGACGGATTAAATGAAATCTCAGCTGCTCAGCATTCACCCCATCCCAATAAGTCTACAAAACCACAGGTTCCGTATAAATCATACAAGAGGTTTTAAGGCAACGTTTTAAAACAGGACCTATGGGTTATCCTATTTCAACAATAGGATTTGTGATTCCTATTTGTAATTCGGGCACAGACGATCTTTCCTTTCTTCAACAGACGAAAAGCTATCAAACTGCTGATTGATAGCGAAGATGCTAGAAACCAAAGCAGAAGGGAGCTCGGGAAGAAAAAAAAAATACGGAGTGACGGGGGAAATCATCGGGAATTTATTCTGCAAAATCCTTCGCTTTCTCGCTTTTAAGTTTGAGCAACTCATTGACGCTATTTGTCTTACGCGCCAAGTGATTTCCCAGGCATCTCATATCATAAAACCACGTTCAAGCTGAAGTTACAGGTATCTGACTCCCAGCGGTCGAAGCCAGAGTGAAATAAATAGAGAGATCTCATAGGGAGGGAGAAAGTGCGGGAACGCGCATAGCTACACGCGCGCACCTCTCCCACCCACCCACTTTCCTGTCAAGCAGGTTCATGTCACCTCGTAGCGCGTGAAGTCACCTGGACGCGCGCAGTCGACTGAAACCCGCGCTGCCGCGCGCGTTTGTGTGTGGGGGACGCGCGTCCGCGGTTATGTAAGATTTAGACCGGGGAGAAGAAGGGGAAAAAAACAAAAAAAACCCAAACCCTGAATGGTTCTTTCTTTTTTGCTTTAGCGCTGCTAAAGAGGTTAAATCAGTAAGGAAATAGCCCCACGGCCGCAGCAAAGAAGGTACTGAAAGGAAGAATGCGGGCAGACGGAGAAGCCCAGTCCCGTTTCGGAGAAAGGCTGCTTTGAACTTAAGGCGCCGGTCTGCTAAGAATAAATTAAAAGCCTAACCAAATCCACGGAACTCGCTTGCCTTGGCTGTTTAGCAAAGAAGGCTTTTTTTTTTTTTTCTCAAGGAGCAAAGAGGTCTAAAGCGGCGCTTTTGCACCAGACTGGCTGGCTGAAAACAGCTCGCCTAGAAAATCCAGGTCAAGCTCCCACGCGGGTTTCCGCCGCCGCCGCCGCCGCGCGCAAAGCTGTCACGTCTGCGGCAAATTCGGCTGCGGAAGGCGACGATCCCAAGCCGACCGGCCGGTCACAAAGCTGCCGATCCCCAGACGAGACTCTCCAAACTTTCGCCCTCTCTCTGGAGCGTCCAGGGGACGGAGAGGAGCGAAGGGAGGGCTAGCGGGAGTGGGGGTGGTGTGGCGGGGCAAAGCTTTTGAAAGAGCCCATCGCTCTCCGCTGGCTCTCCGCCACCAGCCTAAGTTTGCCGCGAGCTACCCGCGCGGCTGTCCGTCCTTTCTTTTGCAGGCGAGAGGTCGAACTTTAGGTTGTCTGCCTGATCCAAGTTTTGCCCAGTGTTTGGTCCGCAGGAGCGGGTGCTGAAAGACAGGAAGACCCCCTCGCGCCGACCCAGATCCCCTGCCCCGTACGAGCCACACGAGCAAAAGGGGAAAGTCTCGCCTCGACCCGGGACCCTTTTTTCTCTCACTCACCTTCATTGGCCGGATATATCCGAGAACCGGTGACACCCTCGCAAATTCCAAAGAGAAGCGAAAAGACGGTGAAATATACAATCCCAGCCATGGTTTTTTGGTGCTAGCGCTGCTCTAGACTCCTCTATCCCAGTGGAATAAATGCTTAAATTGGGAGTGCAGCAGGCTGTAGACATTGCCAAGGGGGCGGGGGAGGAATCGTGACGTCTCGCCGTCCATCAACGCCATTCGCCTGTCAGAAGAGCTGCTTGAGAGAAAAGCCCTCCCAGACACGCCCTCTTCCCAAAAACCACGCCCTCCATGCTCCAAGAGCCCCTCCTCCTCCTGGCTCTTCTCGTATTCAGAGCTTCCTCGAAAGGTGCAGAAGTGGCTGGCGGACGGTCTGCGTCTTTTTGTTGTTTTTCTCCTTCCTCAAGTAGGCATCGACTGTGGTACTTTCTTGCCTCCAAGCTTGGTTCAACCAATGCTCTTTTCTCCTATTCTCATGTCCACTTACCTGCGAGAGATCGCACTGAACTCATTTGGGTTTCCTTCTAAGAGGACGCCTCTCTCGGATTTTTTTCTTATTCTCCCCTGAAATTCCTGGACTAACGAAGGATATCCTGAATTTAAATATCCAACAGGGAAGCGACATAGATTTATTTGACAGAGCTGAAATCGCTCTCCCTCCCACGAATTAGGAAAAAAAAATCTTCATTAAAAAATAAGAAAACGCGATCTTATTAAATTGAGGTTTACTGTAATTATGCCCTTATTTTTTTTTTTTCCTTGAATGGCATACATTACAGAGGAGGAAGATTGCAGGATAATTTCGCGAGAGACGCCTGCATTGTGTGCGAACGTTTCACCAGAACTGAAGCAGCAGACTAGTCTGTGCTCTAGTTTTCAGGAAAAGGGCTTGATAAAAAGATGCTTCAGGAAATAAGGAATTAAAATTTAGAGCAAAAGGAATGAGAAAGATTTCATGCCTTTAGATTTTTTAAGGAGCTTCCTATCTTTTCCAGCCAAGTCTAGCCGCTTTTAAAGGTGGCCGTTCGTAAGAAACATCCACTACCCACCCGCGTTTTTTCTCGCCTAATCCAACTGAAATAAACAAGGCATTCACGGGGATTCCGCGAATTAGAAGGTACTCCCCAAAATCAGAGGAGAACTTTTCGTAAATAGGACAATGGCAACAAGAAAGAAGCCGCTTTTCAAAAATATCCTTTTTTGTGTGTTTGATTGTGTCTCGGGGAGGAAAATGTGAAAGGGCGACCTGATCCTTTACGCCAAAGCTCCCCATCCTGGCAGCTCCACTCAGAGGGTATTCCTCCGAGATCACCAAATCCGCCTGCTAATATCTGACTTTTTATGTATAGATATATATAAGCCGGACGGCGAGCAATTTCCTTCCACTAGGGACGCTTAGTTCTTAGAAAGCAACTACTTTATGGCTCGGTCCCCGAGGTCTTGTACGCGCACCAGCAGCTTTCATCCCAAGTAAGAGCGCACGTGGCCGGCGAAGATCAACGTTGCAAGCAACCTGGTCTCTTTCAAGAACATCTTTATTCGCTTGCTTGCTTGCTTGCTTGTCCTCCACCACATAGGGAAGTGGACTTCCCTTTTCTCGGCTGTGCATTTAAGGGATGGACCCATAAACCCAAAAAGGCGGACGGGGGGGGAGAGAGAGAGAAGGATTCTCAAAGCCTTTCCATTCCCCAGTTGCGTTATTCCTCCGTAAACCAACAGCGCCACCACGTGGGTTGCGGCTGAACGAAGAAGAGGCTGGCGAAGTTGGCAATATGGCAGAGTATGATGACCCTGAGTCTTGACCCCCTTTCTTGTCTCCTAAATTGAATATGTTTCAATGTCACCAAAATTAAATCAAGGAATATTTGTGAAAATATTAAAAAGGTAACTACATATTTGGGCTGTGACACAAAACGTGCAAAATCTGAATTAATTAGCTCAATCACAAAGCACTGTATAAACTTTCACATTCCGACAAACTCTTAATCTGACAAGATGATTAAAATACAGGGGAGGAAAAGGAAACCCCCAGGCTTACAGCTGAAGGTTACATTCTTAAGAAAAATGCAAATTGAGGATGGTGATAAATTGCTCCACGACGTTTCCCAAGCCTTGTTAGAAAGAAGAAAGGGCAAATAATTGCTGGACCCACATTATAATCTAACTGATCTACTCTCATAAGGCTCTTTTCTATTTAACAAATTCAGCTGGACTTACCTTTGATAGAAGACTTACAATACATTGAAAATCAAACTAGAACTGCAAAGACAAAAAGGAATCCAAAGTTAATCGTCACAATTCAAAGTTTAAAATTTTAAAATTTTAAGAAAAGAATCCATTAGACTTTTTCCATCAGCAGTTCCCAGAGAAGCTCTATCACATTTGGGAAATCTGACATCCACTGTTCCAAATTATTTTTTGTTTTGTTTCTGTTTATCTGAGTTTCTATGATTAGAAGTGGAAGATCCAGAAATAAAGCAGATTCGCCTTGTGGTCTTTCTACATCCCCAGCAAGAAACAAACAAGCTAATTGGTTGTATAAAATCCTTTATTAAAAAAATAAGTTGGTTTGGCTGATGGCAATTGACAGAGGTGTGGTTGAAAAACAAGCCTAATATGAAAATGTAGGACAGGTTAGTGATGACTTGACTCTGTAATTGCTATTTTTAGTTTTAGTAACATCTGCCATACCATACATGTTTACATTTGCCAGTCTTCTGCAGCATACTTTAAATTGCACTTAACTTTTTCTCCCCATGTCTTCACTATCTACAGATCTCATACATTTCCATTATGGTATGTGAATCTGTTGCTTTCAGAGAAACCAGCCAATTATTCTTCAGTGTCCCAGCTGAATGTAAACTACTAGCTAATCAATGCTCATTTTTCTGTTTGAAACCGCCCACCAGACCCTCCAGTGAGTTAAAAGCAGTCTTTTTTTTCCATAAAAGAGGCAGAAATGTTTCTAGCACATTACTAAACAAATGATCCATTCCTATTTCACATGAGCTTGTGTAAAATTTTCTGATAATTTGTAAAACATTCCTTCTATTGTCAATTATCAATTGAAATCATTCTATTCTCCTCATTTCTCCTAATTGGTCTGTATGTTTCTCCACAAGCATTATGAACTCTTAGCTGGCCAGATTATTTGGGCTGATGTTAAATACCCAGATTCACTTCCCATTATTTTAGGAGATTTTAACAAAGCCAATTTAAAGAAAGAGCTACCAAAATATTTTCAGCATGTGAATTGTCTCACGAGAGGCAAGAATACTTTAGACCAGTGGGTCTCAACCTTCCTAATGCCGCGACCCTTTAATACAGTTCCTCATGTTGTGGTGATCCTCAACTATAAAATTATTCCTAAGACCATTGAAAATATGTGTTTTCCGATGGTCTTAGGCGACCCCTGTGAAAGGATTGTTCGACCCCCAAAGGGGTCCCGACCCACAGGTTGAGAACCACTGCTTTAGACCATTGCTACACAACAAGATGCTTATCGGTCTTTACCACAAGCAACTGTGGGACACTCTGATCATTGCATGATTCACCTTGTACCTGCTTACAGACAAAGACTTAAAACCATGAAACCAACAATTAAATCAGTGAGGACTTGGACTGAGGAGGCAAAGCTAAAGCTACAGGCTTGCCTTAACTGCACTGATTGGAAATGTTTTTGAAGATACTTCTGCAGACTTGGATGAACTCACAGATACTGTAACATCATATGTCAGTTTTTGTGAAGACCTATGTGTGCTGACCAGAAACCTGTGAATATACAGTAACAATAAACCTTGATTCACAGCTAAACTTAAGCAGCTATGTCGTACCAAAGAAGAAGCCTACAGAAAGCTGATAAAATGCTGTACAATCAGGCCAGAAACATATTAACAAGGGAGATCAGCGCAGCAAAAAGAAGCTGCTCTGAAAAGCTAAGGAATCAGTTCTCGGCAAATGAACCAGCAAACACGTGGAAAACTCATAAAAATATCACCGGTTACAGCAAACCTCCTTCCCATGCTGAAGGAAATCAACAACTGGCAGATGACCTGAATGTGTTTTACTGTAGGTTTGGATAAAACTACTGCCACCCATCTCCACAATCCCCATCTCAGACACACCAACAACAGCTAAGCCTCCTACAACCTACCCCATCCCATTGGGCCCACCATTTCTGGTGATTACAGAGAATAAGGTGTAAGGTCTATTTCACAGACAAAAGCCACGAAAAGCACCAGGCCCAGATAAGATAACTCCTTCTTGCTTAAAACCTTGTGCTGACCAACTGGCCCCCATCTTCACCCACATCTTTAATAAATCACTAGAGATATGCTATGTTCCTTCTTGCTTCAAATGCTCTACTATCATCCCAGTGCCGAAGAAACCATCCATCAAGGAACTGAATGACTTCAGACCAGTTGTTCTAACATCTGTAATTAGGAAGACCTTTGAAAGGCTAGTGCTGGCCTGAAAACCATCATGGATCCGCTGTTAGACCCCTTGCAATTTGCCTACTGAGCAAATAGATTGACAGATGATGTTGTTAATATGACTCTACACTACATCCTACAACATCTTGAATCTCCAAAGACCTATGCAAGGGTCCTCTTTGTAGACTTCAGCTCAGCATTCAATACCATCATTCCAGATATTCTTTTAACTAAACTAAATTAGTTAGCTGTACCTGACCACACTTGTAAATGGATCATAAGCTTCCTAACAGACAGGAAGGAGCAGGTGAAGCTAGGCAAAATCACATCAGATACCTGTACAATTAGTACAGGGGTCCCCCAGGGCTGTGTGTTCTCTCCACTTCTCTCTATGCATCAGTGACTGCACCTCAAAAGATCCCTTTGTTAAAGTACTGAAGGTTGCACATGATACAACAGTGATTGGTCTCATTCGAGACAATGATGAATCTGCATACAGACCAGTGGTGGGTTGCGCCCGGTTCGCACCGATGCTATAGAACTAATAGTAAAACCGGCGGGAGGCCCCGCCCACTGACCCAGACATAATCAAAATGCTTCTGCGCATACGTGCGGCCCTGCTGTGAACCGGTAGTAAAGGTAAGTAGAACCCACCCCTGATACAGACAGGAGGTTGAACAACTAGCCTTGTAGTGTAGCCAGAACAATCTTGAACTAAATACACTCAAAACCATAGAAATGGTGGTAGAT